TTGGGCCTCGCCCGAGGAGTGATAGTCCTCCTGGTCGGGATCCTCAAACACAGGCCCGCCCACAACATCATTGGGCTCCACAACCTCCACCCCAGCCGCAGCATCCACCGGGCCCAATTCCTGGCCCTTTTTCTTCAAACGACGGCGAGCCGACTCCTTCTTTCCCAACCCACTCTCTACGCCCAGCTGTTGCATCCGCGCAGTTGGTGAGGGTCGCGATTGTTGACCAGCAGTAGACTCTAGATCCCTTCGGTCCCCCTTACTCGCCGCCAGAAGCGAGCCCTCAGCCACGCAATGAGCAGGAGGATCAGCATCCTCCTTTCTCCCAACTTCCAAGCTCTCCTCATCAGAATCCTTCTCCAGGATTATTCGACGCCGTCGGGATTCCTCAATGATAGTCTCCGGTTTCGCAGCAGGAGCACGACGACGAGGAGGGGCCCCAACTCGGTCACCCGTCGATCGACGCACTCCTGATTCGGGTTGAGACGGCACCCGCGGTGATTTCCTACTTCTCAATTTTCGACCCCCAATTTTGACACAGGGAGGATTCTTGATCGCAAACCCCTTCGGGCTACCCTGCCGGCCCGCCTGATTCGGAGCAAGGCCAGCAACAAGGGGTTTTGCAGCAGCGCCAGCGGTAGGGGCAGAGGGGGCCCTCGACTCCGCCTGAACCCCAGCAGCCAATGGAGTCGACTGGCCGGCAATCGCGGTGGGATGACGAATGGGAAACCCGGCCTGCCTCCTTGGACCCTGATTTTCTCGCCTCCCCATTCCACGCTCTTCTTTGATGATCTTTTCCAGGTTCCTCCTTGAGCCCCCATCCTGGCTCATTTGAATGTTCTTGTTAACCCAAACCGAGGTATGGTTCTTCTTGAAGTTTCTCTGCTCAGACTCTTGATCATATACCCGACGACCAATCTTTCGAGTCGTCATATGAGGGCCATACCTTTCTTCCCCAGCAGGGGGATCAAAAGTACAAGCCCGCTTGGAATGACCCACTCGACCACAGAAGAAGCAAATTGTCGGAAGGTATTCATACTTCAAATTCACCCAAAACGTGTCGATCTCGTCACTTGCAGCCATGATTTGAGAACGTAGAGGTTTAGTGAAGTCGATCAAGGCTCGAACCTTCACGAACCGTTCGTTGGTGTCATTTGAAGCGAAAACACCTGATTCAAGGACTTGCCCAATAGTGCCTTGCGCCATCTTTTGGCCAAACTGTTTGGTACAGCACTCCTCCCTGACATTCCAAAGTTGCACCCGAAATGGGGCAATAGCCAGGTCATCAAAAGTTTGGAGAGTGATGCTTGGCGACCAAGGTCGTAAATGGAGAATGGCATCAAGAGCCACCCACGGGGTTTGTTTCAAGACCCATATCCGGGCTTCAGTGGAGGGAAACCTGAACTCGAAGAGCCCGTGCTTGGTGATGGACACCCTGAGCTGCCCCTTGATTTGCCATGGGACGAGGAGAGCCTCTCTTAGTTCTGCCGGAGTGACTATGGAATCTGTGAACAAGCGTCCCAGCAGCGAACGGGATGCTCGGAAGTCAACCGACTGAACCTCTTCAAGAGAGAATTGCACAACCTGGTCGTCAGCGATACGAACCATTTTGTTTTCCTGCAGAGAAGGTGGGATAGTCATATGAAGCATAGCCCCCAACAGAATATCATGAATACTACTGTGTTCGTTAACAGGAACATAATTATCAGCTGGTTGAGGTACAGCTAAGAACGCCGACCCAACCGAACTGGGGGAGGGAATAGTACCTCGGAATCTGTTTGCTGAGACTAGCGATATATCTCTACCTTGCTTGGCTAACTGGGGTTGCAGCCGAGGCGTCACCAACGCGTTCCAAGCTTGGTTTATTTTTTTTTTGGTAGAGAACCTGGGGAGTAATCGGATTTTATAGAAGGCAACAGCACTTGGTTGTGGAAGTGCCGTGCAGATCTTCTGCCGATTTTTTCTGTTACACTTGGGGTAAATCTCTGATATCCCAAGTTACCTAGTAAGCTACGGCTTCTCATCCGAGATTTCCCCCACCCCCAGAAATTAGTTGCCAGGCCCGCAAAATCCGGGCTGGGTTGTTGCCAGATAGACGCTAGCTTGGTGACTATCGATGGTTCACCGGAGATTTCGTTGCCGATCGGATCAATCCGACGCTGCTCATCGGTACCCTCCGGCGAACTGGGCTGGGAGGACGAACAATCCGATCCTTTCCCCACACTTCTGGACTTAAATGGCTCCCCTAAGGGAGCTTCTTTTTCAACCTTTTCCCCATAACGGGCCGACTGGCCGATCACCTCAAAATCGCCCCATGGTATTGGGTTGGTTTAAACCCCGAAGGGTATTTCGCACTCACAATTATCTTGTCCCACGATCTTATTTCTCTGCAACTTGCCATTTTCCAGCCCAAGAACTTTGTCCTCCATGGCTGACGACGGTGGGAGCCAAAATCTCCACCCCCGTAAAGGCCGAAGCCTTCTTCTTTTTGAAACAAAAGGCTCCTTTTCCGAAGTCCATTCCGTTTTTCTTTTGCGATTCCTCCCGGCGCCCGCTGTTCGCTCAACTCTCGAGCGACCACTCTTTAGGCCGAAGCTTTTTCCTTCAACTCGTTGTTCTTGTTGCGGCGGCGCAATGATCCTCCACCCCGACTCAGGAGTATGATTCTGTCCCCAAGCCTGTGCCCAGGATCCTTCTTCGTCTTCTAGGTAAGTGTCACAGATCAGCCGGAATGATTTCCAAAGCCATTTCCCAACCAAGGAACAGAAAAAGAGGAAAGAGGGGAGAGCACCTCTCGCCATTTCCCAACCCCAGTTCTTACTAAAGCAGACAGCTGATTTGGCCAAGTTCAAACTCTTTTCTTAACTCTTTTCATTTCAATATTGTATCTCCTTAAAAATAAAAAATAAAAAATAAAAAATTAATATATATACATAGTTGCACCATCATCGCAGTTTTCATTAAGCCGTATTGGTTTATTTCAACTCATTTTGGCGGGGCTTTGTCGTACTATAGTAGTGACGATTGTGTGTATGTATTTATTTTACAGGTGATCGTAAGAATTCAGACCATGCTTTGGGTGATAGCCTCCTTTCAGAGATCGAGATATTCGTGTCTTCACGCAGCGTGCATCGTTCCACTTCGCTCCGCGTAAGTACAATAGGGCTGCCCATATCGTGACGAAACAAGCCCTTTCATCGTTGAATCGTCGGTTGGTTGATCAATGACTCTTCCTTAATTTTTTCTTGTAATTTGACTTACAAAGTTCTTTTATTATGTCATATCTACGGTATTCCCTTTTCGATATCTCTGGCAAAAAAAAACTGCATTCAGTTTGGTTTTAATGGCTAAATTACACGGTTGGTCACTCGAATTACATAAATCTTTCACGTTAGCCACCCAAATTACTTTTCTTTCATATTAGCCACTAACTTTACGATTCGTTTCACCGTTAGTCACCTTCCGTTAATATCCGTCAGACTCCGTTAACGCCGTCAAATTTTTTATGACATGGCAAACGGGAATGCTGACTGTACTGTTAAATTAATTAAAAGAAAACAATTAAAAAAAATAGGCAGAGGAGTAGTGACCCCTTCCCCTCCATTGTATTCTTCGCCTTCCCCATCTTTACGCAAGAGTTGGGCCTGGAGATCTATTCCATCCAGCTCCACCACCGCTCCGTCTAGGCAAAATGGCACCGGCGGCTCCTTCGCCTGGTGGCGGCACTCTGCCGCTGCACGATTCTCCATCGTCCCCAGCTCCGTCCTCGTCCACAATCGCGACGAGAAGAAAATCCACGACGCCTTCGATACCGCCGAGCTCCTCTCTCCGAATCCGACATCGCCGGCTTTTGCTCCCAGATTAGCGTGTACTGGTCGTGGATGGACGTGACCAACGATGACAAATAAGAAATCCAAATCGACCGACCTCTCCTCCTACCATCGATCTCAATATGCCACTGGTCTGCTCTCGTCGCCGGGGAGAAAACAAAGACGGTAAGTACTTTGTTCCTTCTCAATGCTTGTCGATTTTTAAGGGTTTTGTTTGATTCCAAGTTTGAGGAGTTTTAATTTTGAATTTTAGGGGTGGTTATGTTTTGGAAGATTTCCCTAGATCTAGAAGAAGAAACTGGGGACGACGACAATGGCGGATCGATGCTAACACATGCATCGGCTGATGACGATGGCGTGGATTCCGGGCTGAGGTTGTAGCAACGGTCTGGAGATTAGGCTTTATCAACTGGACTTGGCGAGATGGTGGTGGCTCCGACTTCGACGGGAAAGTTTGGTGGTGCGTCGGACTAGGTTGCTGAAGGCGGCGGAGTTTACGACAACGAGCAGCACCGGGATGAGGAAAAAGCAACGAGCGGCTGCGGGAGAAGATGACTATGGCACCGCTGAAACTTGATTTGACGGTGTTGGTAACAGGGACCTCACCCACGGGATGGGCAAATTGATGGCGCCGATGGCGGAAACGAACTCGGAGGGCGATTGATGACAAAGGCGGCGGACTGGATTCAACCTTCCAAGTTCGACTCTCGACAAGGGTATCAGAGAGTCTGATCTCTCTTTTGGTTGCTGCTCGTGCGAAGAGGAAGGAGAAGAGAAAGGTAGCTGTGAGGAGAGAATGAGGTGTAATTTCTTTTTTATTTGTTTATAAAAATTGACACGTCATTAACTTAACGGTACAGTCAGCACTTCTGTTTGTCATGTCATCAAAATTTGACGGCGTTAACGGAGTCTGACGGAAGGGTGACTAATGGTGAAACAAATCATAAAGTTAGTGGCTGATATGAAAGAAAAGTAATTTGGGTGACAAATGTGAAAGATTTATGTAATTCGAGTGACCAAACTTGTAATTTAGCCTGGTTTTAATAGACACACATCAAATTTGGGCCAGGGGAAGCAGTCTTTTCTATGTTAAGCCCAGTTTGCCAAGCCCACACGTTGGACATACAGTATAATAGTGGGGAGAAAATGGAAAAGGAAAGAGCGGCGGGAGCGCGACTTGAGGTCGGGGAAAAAAGAAGGAACAGAGGGATGATATGAGAATTAATTCTTTTTGGCTCCGCCAAAACCATCTCTGCGCCCCTGCCATTTACCACTGACCGGTAGTCGATCGGAGCAGAATCGAAGTCCCAAGTTTTCAACGGCGAATCTCTTCTCAAACAACAATGGTGAAGGTCGTCGTAGGAGACGAAAACCAACTCAAATTGGCCGAGGACCGCCTTACTCAATCTGGTTTCACCGCCCAGGTCCCCCTCCTCGATACGCTGTACATTTTCACCTCTGCAATTCCCTGGGGGGACGATCTAATTGTTCTGAAATTCCCTTTCCACTTGATTTGATTAGGTCGGCCTGGTGATCGGCAAGCTCAGCTCCCCGTTGGACCGAGGCTTCGTCTTCGATTTAGTCCCCACTCCGACGAACGACGCCGGCGAGCCAGCCTGTTCCGTCGTCGAGACCAAAGATGACAAGAAAAAGGGCGGTTCCAAATCCAAATCGCAGGTCTCGGATGCTTCCACCTTGTTCATTGACACTGACTGGGTCGCCGAGCACGCTCGCCAGGTCTGCTTGTCTCTTCCTTGATTTCCTCGTCAATCCAGCCAGCCGGCTTTAGTTTCATTTCCAGTTACTGTAACGGTGGTGAGGGTTTCACTTAGGTTTCGAGAATGTTAGTTGGCGGGATGAATGTGGTGGGAGTTTATGTCTGGGTTAGTGATACCTCATTCAAGAACTCAACTATTACCCTTTGCCAGGTAGCTTCCTTGGAACTTTGATTTCTTAGGGTTTTCCGTTTCTCCAGAGCAATGTCCTATGCGATTCCGGGCTGATTGGGTGTTATTAACGGTAATAGCTTTTGCAGACAGTGAAAGGAGTGGCTGAAGCCGCACCTATTCTAGAAGGAGATTGGGATGAAAGACTGCTTATTCACATATCTTATAGCCCAAGGAGGTATTTTGTATCTTGCGTTAGTCTAATTATGTTCAACTTTTCACCATGACTTGGGACTACGTTTGCTGCTTCATATGTTGATCGGTAAGTTGATCTTCTGTAGGTGGACATGTCGGAATTGTATGCTGTCTTCAAGTATCACATCAAGCAGCATACGACCCTGTGATTTCAAAATGGGGAAGGTCTTAAGCTCCATGCAGAGATTTAGGTGTATTTATAACTTCGAGCTCAGGTAGGAATAAATAATAGGTTAGTTCTACTCTGGATTACATTCCTGCTGGGTAGATCTATCAGGCTACAATATTTTAGGATGATTTTTTTGATTTTAATGGCTGTATAAAGATGGAGGAACCTTTGCTTGGAAATTGCTGCATTCTTGTGGTAGTTGCCAAACTCAAGAGTGAAGTTTTATATCCGCAGATTACCTATATCCCATGAACATGAATCAACGGCTTCAACGCTGAGTGCGATTCTTCGGTATGGAATCTCAACACATGTGAAAGAGCTAAGAGGTGCAAAGGCTGTAATTGATGGAAAATTGGTAAATAAGAACTGTGAACATGTCTTTAGCATTTTTTGGGTTTCTTTATTTTATCTGTTCAGTGTTCGGCAACATTTTTTATGTTGAAGTTAATATCTCCATTACTGTCCATTTAAGATCACAAACGATGAGCCATGCACCACTGACACTTTACATGAAGTTGAATTGCTTCTTCCATTCCTGGAATGTGACCCTGCTACTGAAGGTTTGTTGACAAATTCATCATTTCATGTATTGAGTAAAGTCAATATTAGCCCTGTATATCATCTGGGCATCTGATATTTGGATTTTATTTTTACCTATAAAGCATGCAGTCAGAAAAATGTAGATGGTCTTCTTGTTTTTGGTGGGTCTGTTTGTTCATTCACGTATCTGAACAACAAAGAGCCGGTTTCGCAGGCAGTTGCTGATATAAAGGTATGTCGTAATCCCAGTTGTCTGTTTCTATCTAGCTTTTGGAATTCGGCATTTGACCCTTCATATGCAGATTGGTTCAAACCTTAATAATGCACCTCTGCTTCAGACCTTGCATTGGATAACATTAGGAAGCTGCTGCCTTTTTCTTGTTATGTATAGTATTGTCTTCTTTGAGATTTGTCCCAAATACTGTTAAAGTTGCTTTAAACCTATCATAGGGTGGCCCTCATTTACCGGTGAAGGTGCCGCTTAGGTGGCTGTACCCCCTAATCGTTTTTTGGATAAGGATGATATAGGTTTCAGTTTTTGTGAGTAAGGTACTACTTTCGAACCTGTGACCTCCAGGTTCTAGGCTAGTGGTATTCCTCAGTACCGCTTAGGTGGCTGTATCCCCTAATCTTGTATGACCAAAGTTTTGAATATTCACAATCACTCCCAGATCATAGAGATAGTTTTTTTTTGTTTTTTTCAAACCTTAGATGGCAAGATAGAGACAGTTGTTTTCCTTGGCTTTGGAACCTTTTTAACTTCTCTCCTGGCTAGTTACAGTCCAATTTATATAGTGTGTTCAACTTCTGCCAGTTTTGAGTATAGAACCCAAAACCTCAACCCTCATTCCCAAATGAAAGAGATTATCAAAGCAAAATCTGAGGTTAATAGGCTCAGGGTAAATAGAGTTCTGTAGAAATTCCTTGTTGCACGTGGTCCTTTATAGTTAGTACCTATGCGATCACACCAAGCATGAAAGACATTTTTTAGATGCTAAAATGGAATGCAGATGTCTTTTCATATTCTTCCTGTACCTAAATTGACCAGATTAAAGCTTTAGTAGGCAGTCTTGTAGCTTTCATAATGCCATCCCATTCTCACTTGGATTAACCTTTGCTCTGTGTTTTTTTCTTTTTTGAAGTTTGACATAGTCAGGAGTCTGCAAAGCAGGTTGGACATCTTATGTGATGAAGCAGATCAAGAACTTGCTGCAGAAGATGAAGGCACTGAGGAAGCAAGCCAAGACAGACTGTCTCATAAACCTGTTTCCAAACTTGCCCTTCACTCTTTAAGGTGTGTAGTTTAAGGCATTCTAGAGATGATAGTAGTTAAATGGTGACAAGTTTAATGTCACCTCTCCTGGTTAAAACAGGAAAACATGCCATCTTGCATTCCCTCGAAGAGTTTTCATTCCATGGTTGGGTGATATCTACATTTGTGACTACCTACAACCATCAGAGACACTTGAGGTTTGGTGCATTTTTGCCTGTCTGTCCTATACTGAATTTTCGATTGCAGGGAATTCGCATTCAAGTTATGATGTTTTTTGGATTATTGTGGCAGGTCATAAAAGATCACTGTGTGGAGTTGATGTCCATGCAAGCCCCAACTGATGCCTCAACGTTCTTCCAGCCAGAAGTGGAAGCTCCATCGGTGATCTCCAAATCTTTCTGGGATGTTTCAGTGGCTGGCAATTCGAATAATTCTTCTTCTAGCAAGAGCAGAGAAGTCGATGATGCAAGTCCAGAAAGTAGCAACAGACAGCTGAGGAAGACCGTTAACTTCAGTTTCAGCATGGTGGCAGCTGTCCTCATCCTGCTTATGTCTATCTTGCTAGGTTTTGTATTCGTCAGGAAATCATAGGTAAACGATTTCGGGTTATATACTAGCCACAGGATTTCTTGTAACTGTTGATTCGGTGGTGTCTGTGAACGAGGTTTGAAATGTTTGTTGCATTCTGTGATTGAAAACTATGATGTGAACAAACGAAAAGAGAAAGTTATAGAAGGAAAGAAGAAGAGGGAAACGGCAGAATTAAACTGTGACTTTGTACTTTGTAGTATAGATTCTGAAAGGATGCTCTAGATTTTGTTTTTTCCTCAACCCTCTCAGTTTATGTCCATGGCCTGTTGTAAATGTGAACACTGGAATCATTTTTGTATCATGCAAGAAAAGTACTACAGTTTGAGTGCAAGAAAATTAGCCACTACTAGAAGAATTTTGTTACCTTAACAAAGCTGGAGCTTTGTTACTACTAGAAGAATGCAAGTATTGCTCATTCCAAAACCCTACCTTCTACCACACTTCCACTAAACACCAGACACACTCTTCCCTTCCAGCCCGGCTTCAGCTGCCTTCAATGGCGGCTGCTACTTCATCATAGCTTTTTGCAACAATAGACAAGGATAAAAAAGGAACACCAGGGAAGTGGATTCTGTCGAGCCAACCCAACCGAACCCTAGCTGTTCTATAGTGCACCTCTGCATATATTATATACTGCCCTAGTCGTTCTGAATGCATTGTCGCAACAGTATATCGTAATTCTTGAATTGCCAAACAAACAGCCCCTCAAGTTACCGCAACTCTGAACATGGTTTTCTTTCCCCATACTAACAGATTCGTCCATGTGACCGGAGAAGAAGCATAACGTAGTCTCGCTCTCTTTTCCCAGCTGTCAATTTTTCTCTGGCAAGTAATCCACATAACATCACCAATTAACCATCACAGTTTTTGGAAAATACGTGACTTTCTACTGCAGTGCCTTTTGTAGTTCTGACTGTTCTCACTAATGAGGAGGACACATTGCCTACACCTGGGCAGAGGGAGACATCTGAAGAAGTTGCTGCCAGGGCAATAAAATTCTTGAACTGGCAAGAGTTTATCAAAAATCTATTTTGTTATGTACTTTACTTCGTTCACAAGGCAGGATTAGGGTTTTTTTGGATCTGAAAAAGTTTTCCTTTGGGGGTTCTCCAGGATAAGGACCAGGAAATATAAGGATTTGCAGTTTTTTGGCAATGGTGGGTTCTTGGATGACATGTTGAGTCCGTTTAAAAATGACAGTGTAAAATTGGCACAAGGTTAAAAATGAGTTGAGAAACATCAGCTTTCTGGAAACACTCTCTTTTGCCGGGAGCGGATCCCCTCAGTAACCAATACCTCAGTAACCATCAGTAACCCCTTCCCCTGGCCCCCACGTGTCAGCTTTTTCTTTTTATTTAAAAAAAATACGGAGGGGCACTAAGGTAAAATTGCACCCCTATTTAATGATGTCTCTGACGCGCTGACGCTGACCAGATCAGATCAGCGCCTTCTCTCTCCTCAAACAACCTTTAATTTTCCTTCTCTTAATCTTTAACGGACGATTTCTCACTCGTTTTAAGTCGGAATTTAATTTTTTTTGCACAGTTAGATCAGATTAATTGTGCTCTTCAAAATGATATCCACTTTGATATTTTTCAGACATAAAAAAATTTGTCAGTTATTACTAGTCATTACCATATGGTAATGACTGGTATTGACCATACCATATGGTATGAAAAAATTTGGCACATCAATATATATTACGTTACCACCCAATACCATATGGTATAGTGTGGTAATATCAATATATATTTCGTTACCACCCAATACCATATGGTATAGTGTGGTAATATCAACATATGGTAAATCTAACTACCATACAATGCCAACATAGTAGAACATGGTTAATCGAATGAACACAAATTAATTGTAATTACCATACAATACCACATGGTATGAGAAGTTAAAACCATATAAAAATAATATAAATCTAATTACAACCCTTTTACGACCATAGTAAAACACGATATCCATAAAAATACATTTCGTTACCACACTTTACCATATGGTATACATTTTACCATATGGTATAGACACATTACCATATGGTATATACACTTTACCATATGGTATAGACACTTTACCATATGGTATATACACATTACCATATGGTATAGACACATTACCATATGGTATATACAAATTACCATATGGTATAGTGTGGTATATACACATTACCATATGGTAATGTGTCAATACCATATGGTATCGACACATTACCATATGGTATAGTGTGGTAATCTCAATATATATTCTCAAAGAAGGGGAAACAGAAGGAGGAAGAGGAAAAAAAACTTGTCTTCTGTCTCCTGTCATTTACTCCTCCGCAATGAAGAACACCGAATGGAAAAAGAAAGAAAAAGAGGAAGAAGATCGGAATTAATTCACAAACAAATACTAAAACACAAAAGATGCAAACTCAACTCACCTAGATCTGTCCCCTCTTTGACAATATGGAGCATCATCGATTTTGAGGCCGATAAAAGAAAAAAACAGAAGGAATGAGCAGCTTGAGAGTAGAAGGATTTGGAGCCTCACCGAATTTGAAGTGGGAGGCTGCAATTTATTCATCGATTGTTGGAGAAAAAAATGAAGAACAAGAGAAGAAATAAGATTTAGATCTGGAAAAAGAATTTTGGAAGAGAGAAAGGAAGAAAGAGAAAAGAGAGAGGAAGAGAAAAGTCTGCTTTTTCTCTTTCCTCCATTAAAAGACAACACATATAAATGCTGGAAAAAATAAAAAGAAGGAAAGAAATCAAATTTCAAAAATCGGACAAAAATGCCCCTCCTCACTCCACGTGCAGCCCAACAATATAATAATGCCATCCCTAGATCTACGGTCCGGATTTAATACTGATAGGTCAGTAACCAATGGTTACTGACCCTATCTGCTGCCTCTTTTGCCACCTCTCTTCTTATATTAAGACAGCTTCTTTTTTATATAATTATATCTAATATGCAGATTTGTCAATTGTCAGCTTCATAGTTTTGGTGGACGAAGGGTGAGTATTGAGTATATCACTGTATCTCCTCTGATAGAAGGAAAAAGCACAACAAACTAGAAAGTAGAAGCTGCTGTTAAAGATGAAGCCGTCATTTCCCGACATTTTTTTGGCTTTTCACTCTCAGCATTACTGGTTCAGATTATACAACGACAAACTATCCTGTAAAGTTTCCGGATAGCAACGAAAACCATGGCAAGAAAGTAGAGCAGCTTCTTTAATAACCCTTAGTGGCTACTAGTTCAGATTCTGGGAGAGTGTTCTGTTTTAAAAAAACTGCAATGAAATAAGAAACTTTGATCTCCATTCTATTTCCTCCATACAAGTATCTATTACACGTACTCCAACTGTTGGATCCAGTCATGACCAATTGATGAAATTCAGATGTTTACATCAGCTCTCCTAACACGCATACGAACAGAAAATAATAGCTCTGAGTGCTATCAGTAATCATCATAACAATTAGTTACTGGTTTCTCTGTACAAGATCAAATCCTTTCTGTACAAAAAGGACTAACCCGTCCTTGAAGGAGTGTACTCTCCATGAAGGGAATGGAAGGCCAAGACTGTTGAGCTTGCTTTTCCCCCTAGTTTGCAGAATCACTAGGGAGGAATTTGCCGAGGCATGACACGACCCTGGAAATTTTTCCAACAGAAAGAAATGCACGGATTTAGGAGGGTTGATCAATTTTGTTCCTGCTAAGAGGTCATTAGAGAATGTAACGTTTACCTCTCATTCTCAGTGATCAGAGACCGAAGTTCACAATTCTTGAATCTGGAGAAGCGAAGATTGAAGAAACAAGCAACCATTAGTCGTTCACACAAGCCAACACAAATTGATCTGGAAATGAGATTGTCACAAGGAAAATGAAGCCGAGCGTGAGTTGGCCCTAAAACATTGGGGAATACTAACTGTGTGGATACTTCAGCCCTCAATGAAGGCTGGCAGTCAGTGGTCAAAGCCTCTAAGGTATACTGCAAGAACCTGTCATGACAAACAATGGCAATTTCCTTCTCGGGTCGTGTCCATAACCTGAAAATACAATCTTTCCAATGTCATTCCTGTGGTACATTGAACCGTATAATGATGAAGAAGGAGATTCCTAGGTAACAATCAATGAGTAATAGACTACTAGTAGAAGGCCTTTCCTACACTAGGTTTTCGGGCTAAGAATATGCAGTGAACAAGGTTGCAGAACAGGTAAAACAGGGGAGGTAAATACCAGTTCATGAACTTCAAGCCCCTGGCTGCAACCTCTGCAAAGGTCTCTCTAGCATCAGGCTTCCACATAACGTCATCATCACTTTCTATCTGTAAAGACAACACATTTCTTTGCAGTTAGTTTCAGATACAAAAAGTGAGAATCCTGGAACCATCACTGTCAGGATGTGGGTAAGTAGTGCTTGCCAACGAGAAATCAACGTCAGGGTAAAGAGACCGATACTCGGTGACTGTCCTCCTCTTGTCACAAGGATGAAGCCCCTGCAACATTAAACAAGGACACACTTGATCAAGAAAAAACCAGTTTCGGCAGAAGTTCATAAACTCCAATTGGGCTCTCGGTGATAGTACTAACCAATCTCTCTCGACAAAGTTCATACGCCAAAATTGGTGGGTAGTTGACATCTGACATTTCTGCAGCATCATCACCACTGTTCTGTACACTTTCGCTGGTGAGCTTTCTATCAAACACCTTGACTGCAGTTTCTATAGTCCTGCCAAACCCAATCCATTCATTCTCAATTAAAAAGAAAATTGAAGAGCACAAGTAGAAAGCCAAGAAATTCCAACCTCGACAGAGGAGAGGTGACGACTAATTGAATTTTGGCAAGGATCCCAGATGAAACCACATAACTGCTCAAATCTCGAACCTGTAAAACGTTTCAATTCAAGAGCTGGGAAAGAACGGGAGGCGCGGAATAACAATAATCCAAAAGTGGTAACTTTGGTAGAAAGAAAATTGATAACTCGCCTGTTGGGATCCAAGCGGGGAGAGGTTAGCATCAAAATATCGAGGAGACATCAAAGCGCTGTGATCCTGGGCTCCTGCAACATTGTGGACGCCCTGCGCATGCCTCACCTGCACGAAACCCAAAATTGGGAGTAAACTACCAGAGTGTTGGAAATGGAGAAAGCTTTGTAAACTTTGAATTACCAGATGAAGAATCTTGACGTTGTGAGTTTGAGCTGCGGCGTCGCCCATTTTGGTGATGGCTCGTGAAAGGAAGAGCAGAGCAGAGGGAGATTCGCTTTGGAAGAGATGGAGGGAGTCAAAGAGAGGAAATTAAATTGCATGGGACGTGGAGGCCGACCACCAGAATGGCATGTGATGTTATTCAGTTTCCGTCTCTCTTGGTCTTGGCTGTGGTTTCCGTTTCCGTCTCTCTTGGTCTTGGCTGTGGTTTCCGTTTCCGGTAATAGAAAAAAATATCTGTCTAATACCATCATTATTTTCATAAACAATCATTGATCCATTTTTCAGATTCTGAAAGTAACACGAAATATATTTGTCGTCTACACTGTAAAGTAAATTCATTTTCCCATTTAACTTCGAAAAATTATTTTAATATAGCTCAAAGCTGAAAATGTTATTTCTATATTTGCAGTTGCAACAGATATAGTTAAAACTAGCTTTACAAGATAGAAATATCGAGTTCTGGATATATTTCAATTGCAAACTTTTTTATAGTATGATAAATTGATTTCTCTTAGCTTTTAAACCTTAAATAATTTCTATTATAATGATAAAATACTCTTAGATTATGAGTTCGATCCTTGATTTATATATATATATATATATATATATATATATATATATATATATATATATATATATATGGGCAGTTCTACGGTGCACAGGGCAAAATCCGGGGTACAGGTAACCAGGGGCAAGTAAAATTACCAAAAGCATCATGAAGCGTTTAAGCGTTTTTCATTGGACTTCAACCTAACTGTACCCGGTTTAATTATATCGATTAAGAGGTTAAACCCTATGGATACGACCCGCCGCCCTAACCAATTTCTAGTCCCTCATTCGTCTTGGAGGGGATGTCCCCTCTTAGTTCGAAGTTCGAACATAATCCTTTTATCATCGTTTCTGAAATCTGAAATCCTTTTTATCATTTGATCGACATTCGATTTAGCTCCCAATCCAATATCAAATCCCCAACATCATCATGTTTTGAACCCCAAATCTATGTATCCACGTTCGAAGAGAAGATCCCTTTTCAATCTAAAATCCCTACATAATCATCATTTTGAACCACAAATCCTTGTATCCACAATCGACGTTTTGTTCTTCGCCATTTTATTTCCGACCGGAATCAAAAATCTCCACATAATCATCGTTTCCTTGTATCCACAATCGACTTTTTGTTCTTCGCCATTATATTTCCGACCGGAATTTACACAAATTGAAGATGAAATAAGCAACACAGTCTTCGACCTAATTGAGGAAGAAGATGAAGAAGACAGGATTTGATTCGAATCGGATGGAGAGGTCGCCTTAACTTGTGTTTATGTATTAACGGTGCGTTTAGGACAAAGTCTAGTTGGGCTTTTAAATTCCCTTCAAAAGTGGGTTTGTGTACATGGTCCGGATTGTGAAGAGGTTGGGCTTTTATTTACATCTGCGCCTGCTTCTGCTTCTGCTTCTAAATCCTGATCATGTCTTGCGTTCACGCAATTTAAACACAATTATGTTCCATCTTTTTTTTGGGATTCGGTAAATGGTAGCGTGTCTCTTTACACATTTATCGGTACGAGGTAAAAAACAATCCGCCCAATTTAACTCTTTATTAATTGCCCATATTCCACTCTCTCACTGTTTGCCCCTCTTGACATAACAAACCTCTTGTAGACTAATTAGAGGCTTGTGGTTGGATACTTAGTGAGGACATTTTTTAAATTTATGTTTTGAAACGAAAGTTAGAATTTCACTTTTGAAGTACTTGTGTACTTTACTTGGGCAAGTATTTTCAAAATGTAAAATTTTATTAGCGTATAGGTATGCGATTATTGTATAAGGTGTTTATGGTTAAGTTAATGATTACTGACTGGTTAGTGTATTAGGTTGTTGATGGTTTAGAGTATATGGTATATGGTATATGGGATGGTTTAGAGTATATGGTATATGGTATATGGTTTAGAGTATATGGTATATGGGAAGGTTTATAAGGTGTTGAATTGTTGATGGTCCAGAGCATATTGTATTGATTGATTCGGCTGAGGGTAGGTGTTGTTTTATTTTTCTCGATTTTATATTGTCTTAACAGCTTCTTATAAATGCTGATCATGCCTTATTATCAGGAAATTTAGACATAATTATTGTAGCGTGTCTCTTTACACATTTATCGGTACGAGATAAAATGATTTGGTGTGTGCAAAGTAGGTTCTCATTAACGATTTTGCCATGTTGGTTATCCCGCCCATTAGCGATTCGCCACATATGGAATCAAAATTAGTTAGAGTTCTTAACTTCATCTTTCTTCATTTATTCTTTGACTTGAACCAACATGTCTTTGCTCCGAAGGATTTTGGGTGGTAGTGGCGTGCTAAAGACAATCCATCCAATTTAACTCTTCGTTAATTCCACCTTTTCTTTTCTTTTTTGGTAGAATAATTACCCCTTTTCCACTCTCTCAGTCCCCGCCGAAGTTGAAACAATCCCCTGTGATATATTTATCGTTCATTTTAACCCTTCACTTAATAAGAAAGCGAAATTATGCAAGATGATCATCAATGTGATGTAGCTTAATTGGTTAATTGTCTGTTATTTGCTTAGTCAATAAAGTAGAGGTTTGTGGTTCGATACTTAGTGAGTATCAATTTTTAATTTATGTTTTGAAAAGCAAGTTATAATTTTAATTTATCAGCGTATAGGTATACGATATTGTATAAGGTGTTGATGGTTTAGAGTACATGGTATTGGGTTAGTGTATTGATCATCTCCATCCCTAAAATACGATATTGTATAAGCTGTTGATGGTTTAGAGTATATGGTATTGGGTTAGTGTATTGATCATCTTCGTCCCTAAAATTGAACAACAATTTCTAAACGAGGTCCCTACCGCCACATCATCAATTTTAGCAATTCATCACTTAACAATTTCTATTCATCTACATCCCTAAATTATGCTAGCAATTGCCAAGGTGGGTTCCATTTTATATTTCAAAGGAAACACTTATTATAAATTGAAAGTTGGGGATGGAGATAGAAGAAGGTGTTGTTGGTATACAGTATAAGGTCTTGAAGGTTATGGTATAAGGGAGGAGCAAGGTGTTGATGGTTTAAAGTATATATGTTATTGATTGGTTACGGTATAAGCCTATAAGGTTGTTGATATGACTTGAATCGGATTATCAGCCGCTACGACTGGTAATCGGGGGTCTCGCTATAAATACTATAAATACTTCTCATACTCCTCTGTAATCTGTAATCTCCTCGATATAGTGAAGCTGGCTCTCTCTCGCCCGTGGACGTAGCTAACACACATCGTGTTAGTGAACCACGTAAATCGTGTGTCGTGTTTTCGATTCTCGCTTTCGTATTCTTGCTTTGTCGATTCCGGCGATTTCCCGATCCGTAGCAGCGCGTTTATAACAAAGGTGTTGTTATTGTTGTAGAGTATATGGTATTGATTGGTTCGTGTATTAGAGTTTGGTTTAGGGTTTAGGGTTTAGGGTTATGATTCAAGTTAGAATAACATAAACCAGATCAATAGAGTAATGTTGGTAAACGAAAAAGTTAGTTAATCTACAAATTCAGACTATTTATAAAAGTACATCCCCATTTCCCACCGTCAATTCCTAAACTTTTCCCTTAATCCGATGGTGAAATACCTTCGATCATCGTCGCGTGCGTGTCACCCAATCAGATATTGCCGAATTCGGAAAGTCGCTTTTGCCCATAACCAATGCTGGCGTTACCAAGGCCGAGGCAGTGGTAGGGAGTGTAATTTTCAGTAAATGTGAAGAGAGGGGAGCAAAAGTAATTACGAGTCAATCTATAAATTCGTTAATCAGTGAAGGAGAGACCGTGCTCCGAAACCCGAGTGGCACTCATCTCCTGCTGCTGTTCGTTCCTCCTCCTCTCAATCCCTGAAAAGAACCCTTTCTTCCATCTTCTCAATATGAAACTCCGAAAATCAACCCCATCCGCCTCTTCATCCTCCTATCCCATGCTTTATTTTCGGGTGCAGTGGTAATGATGAGACTGCGTATTATTTTAGATCTCATTTCCTTTCATTATGTCATTGTTAGATCATGACTGTTAAACTAAATCCTTCGTTGTATTGTTTCTCCTTTTCTCTCCATGCAGGGTCTTTGTTAGAGGCAGGGAGGGGAGCAATGACAATAAGTCGCCGTCTGAATATCGCCGAAAGAATCATCACATGTTGTTGCGATTCCATAATAGGTGTTGTGGAACCCTACGTCATGTGGTGGTTCTTTTGCGCCATATTGACGCGTACTTGTTGATCATGCTCCCAAAATGTATACAAGATAGGAAAGTTGCCATATGTATAATAGGATAAAATAGGGAGGGAAAGTACAGCTTTTTGTTTTTGTTGGACTCTATGTAACATTTGTTTATATTTGTATACTGTTTTGTTATTTTTTCTTCTGCTTCTCTCTTCGCTTCCATGGCGGCTTCCAAAAGTGTTTGAGATCTTCTAAATCTGCAGGGGATCCTCCACTCCCAATAAAAATACTGTACTTTGTACTATTAGCGTTTGAGATCTTCTAAATCTGCAGGGGATCCTACACTCCCAATTAAAATACTGTACTTTATTTGTTGACTACTGACTCCATTTTTAGAAGTCGTTACGATTGGGCCAACCGGAGTTTTTGCCGGATTTCGAACTCTGCTCCTCTGTCGCCACATGCTCTACCCATTTAACGAGTACTCAAAATTAGTGCAAAAAATACGATATAATAATTGAATAAAAAAAACTAGTTCTCAAGATTATTCAACTGAAATGTTGCACATGATTTATTTAGAGTGCTTAAAAATTGCCTTCAACTGACCATTAATGAGTGCATAAATTAAACGACACCGCAAGAGCCAACAGTCTTCTTATATACCAAACGACTCGGCATAGGAGGACTTCCAGTTTCAGTTCAAGTTTCCAACACCGAGCAAATATATGGTCTCAATTGCCACTTCAGCAACTTTAACTATACATCAATTGTGACCGTGGGTCCTACTTAATTTTCAATGCAATTCAATATTAATTGGTGAG